GACGTGACATGTTCGTACGAACCCTTTGTACGAACAAAAGTAAGAGAAATTTAGGATAAAAATACGAACATGTTCTTGCATGAGGCCCATTGATTTTAAACCTACGTCCAAATCAACAAAATTACTGCTTCAACAGAAGAAAATTTAAAGCTTTGAAAAGGCCAAGCCAGAGTCTAGAAGAAAAATCTCAAAAGAGCTGTGCACAAAAACGCAATCTTAAAAGATTTTCCTCTTGATAAACTTGTTTGTCTTTCTGTTGACTGTGAAAAGTTTTGAAATTACCTTGATCTTATTTTTTACATCACAAAATCCTGCTGTTTTATCATGTGTGTCTTTTTATATCAGCTGTACTTTTCTTTCCTAAATCTCAACCTAATTCACACATTTATAAACACAACCATTGTCTACACCTTGTTAACCTARTGACATCACCTGCTAAAACTAAAATGTTTATGTGTTGTAATTTTATCAAATGAAGTAACAACATTCACATAATTGTAGCAATAACAGGCATATTTACAAAGCAAACTCCAAAGACAAAACTCAAACGTGAAGAAACGATTCAGATTATTGCTAATTGCAACAGCAAATTCATTCGCCTTCAAGAGCAATGGAGCCTGTACTTCAGCTTTAATCGTAAAAAAATAAAATAAATTAAATTTGTAAAACAACTTCAACAAGACAAGTTCTGGTACAAAAAACAAGGATCAAATAAAGAACTACTTCTGAATGTGAAGRTGTTAAAAGTTATAAGTGCTTATTGTGGATTGATGCCATCATTTTGAGGGTTAAAATAAAATTTTTAACTCTTAGTATGTAAAATCCTTAACAACCAAGCTTTTGATTCACTCAGTATGTACCCAAAGTGTATCTTTTTAAAAAGAAACATTTTCAATTTAAAAACAAACCTGTACAGCAAGTATGGCAACTTAGTGTCGGTTTAAAAATGACACATTTTTAAATAAGATGGTGGAGACAAATCTGAAATAACTACACCCTGTACAGAATATATATTACTCAGTCTTAATGAACAATAACTTTACAGAAAACTGAAATTGTAAAGCATAATTTAGGTTGAAAGTCTACCTGATTGGTGACTTGTCCTTTACACGCTTTCTGCCTGAAAGGACAAAAAGATGGTCTGCCAGTTGGGGTGGGGGGTTATTTTGGGATTACTGGAGTGTGGCTGTGAGGCTTTGGCAGGGAGGGCTCCTCTGAGGGTATGCACTCACAGAGGGCAGTGGGTGCAAAAAGATGTGGGAGGTGTGCAGACTTGGTGGGCTGTGGGGGSGCTGGCTGAGACTCTTTGGACGGGGTTGCTGGTCTCTGGAACTCGGGCTCTTTCGTTTTGGCTACACCGCCGTGGATGCCGTCTCCCTGCTGCCTTGCACAGGGGGTGGCGGTGGAATCGGGCCGGGCGGGAGAGGCCAGGGAGACCCGGCCCGAGGTGGGGCTGAGATCTTTGGGATGCTGCGTCTCCTTTAAGTCCTCTGAATGGTACTGTTTCAAGCGGATGTGCCAGGCGAGGCTGCACACCGCAGACACCGTCTTGAACTGGTGGATGACGTTCCTCGGGATGAAGTAGATGTCGTCGTCACAGAGCTGCGTCTGGATGTAGCGAATGCCTTCCCTCCTCAGCTGATTCAGCTTGGCATCGTCCACCCACTGAACACACTGCAGAGGAATACATATTTTAATTAAAAAGGGCACTATCATGTAAAATCAACTTTTTTAGAGTTTTATATCATGTTAAAATGTTTTACTCTCTTTGTTTAAATGTTTAAGAAATCCTGCAGCGTTTTTAGGCAGCCATGCTTAGGAGCAAAACAACAGGTGGGGACCAGAAATATCGCTGGGACGTGTCTTTAAGCCGAACTTCCTCATGACAGAGCCCACCCCCCCAAGCACCCCGCCCATGACTCCTGCAGGCTCTCGGGTGAAAATAAAACTGTCTGCTGAGCTCCTTACTTCTCACTCAGTGAAGCTCTTTTCAGATTCAAAATACCTTTGAGGAAATGTATTTTCAGATGCCAAGTAAACTGCATTAAAATCCCGCCCCCCGCCCCCCGAAATGGACGGGACAGAAGCAGAAGGTGATTCTTAAAGAGACAGAGCCCAGTTTCAAGGTGTTTAGAAGAGGCGGTGATGAGAAGATAAGTTTATTTTCTATTTAAACATAAAAACAGCATTTTAATAACAGCTAAAGGTGACATAGATACTTTATTATGGTATAGTATTTAAATATATGCCTGAGAAACACATAATATTGCCCCTTTAAACAACAAACACCTAYGTTATTTAAAATAACCTTTAGTGGAAGTAAAACCTGACTCTTACCTGAGAAACCGGGGGCTCATACAGATCTAGTTGCAATCTCTGGACGACCTCATTGAAGTCCCCAGCATCGAAGCATACCACATCTTTGGTTATTCGAGGTCGGGTCTCTCTAGGGGACATTTAGTAAGAAAACAAGCTGCCTCATCTATTCGGACACCGATCAGATCGGAAACATCGTCTAACAATCAGAGATTATGTAAACACATCCAAGCGTGATGAAATAATTTACCCTTCTCCAAAGTGCACTGCCTTCAGAACACCCACAGCAGCTGTGCTCTGCCAGTCAAAACTTTGACCGACATGATCAGCGTGAGCCTTAGTCCGGTCCTCAAACAGAACCTCTCTGGGCTCGCTGGCTCTTGGAAGGTAGTGCAGGTTTTTGATCTCATTCATGGATCTGGAAAAACATGGGGAGAAGAAAGGTAAATTTATAGTTTGCACACTTSGTTTTCACACAAATTCACCAATCGTTAAGATAAAGAGATTTCAATTTCTTTAAAACATCAAGTCATACCTGCGCCGTTTGAACGGAGACTTGGGCATATCGGCAGTGGGTACCATTTGTTCCCCGGGTCGTACCCACATGATTGGACCGTCGTCACTCTGGGAGCGACAGTCGAGCTTCAGGCTGGAGAGGTTTCCCCATGGCAGGGTCATCTGGGACCACATACACAGATACAGGTGGTCACATTAATTAGACACGCAGAACAATTTATCTGTCTTTTGGAAAAATAAGAGGACATTGCTGAAATCTAAAGCTTTTAGCTTCAAGAGTAACTTACCCCAAAATTAACTTTTTTTTAGCTGATAAACTGCCTAGAATGTGCCTAAAACGTTACATAGTACTGTTTCTGTGCTAATTTTGATGTTTTTGTGCGTATTTGTTCAAATCTGTAATATTTGGTCTAAAAACATGTTTTTGCTGCTCATATGGGTAGAGCAGTGGTACTGCAGGCTAATTTGCAAATTGGTTAACGGCTCTCCTCTGTGACGTGTCTTCTCCACGGTTTCGTCACAGCGGCTGTGTTCTGGTATAAAAGCCTCTCTCTAAGACACGCCCCTGCAGCAGTCAGAGGGTGACGCCCATGTAACCGAACTTCAGTCAAACAAGACCAAACACATTTATTYATGTTTTAAACTAGTGATCTTGTGAGCAGCTGCAGCTGTATGCTTTTATTTTTTCTGTCAGGCTGTCGGAGCACTCCACCTCCTCTGTCCGGTGCTGGTGTGGGGTGAGGCGGACAGAGCTCAGCCGAGGCTGCGGTAAAGCGCTCCAGGTCCTGATCCACGGAGCCAACATGAGTCAGTCCCAGACTGAGCTGACTTGATCAAGTCTCTCT